TTACATTGTTCCATTTACGTGTTTACTTGTGTTTAGACTATTCTCTATCATTTGCATGCTCATTTATTAAAATCGTGAGTGATTAACGAAAAAGTTTTAATAACCAATTCACCCTCCTCTTGGTTAGTTATTCTTGGACTAACAATCGTGACTTTTAAGCAACAATCGTCAATAGCGACAATTGGACAGTGGTTCCTATTATATTAGACATAATCTAGTTAGTTAGGGTAGCAACGTGAATGTACTCTCAGATCAACCTCCACCATGTATAAATAGGTTCTTACACTTCGTTTATGCTAGTCTTCATTCAAACTTAAAGCAAGTTAGGGAAAAAATTATATTGAAATTACGATAAGTATGATGAGTCTAACTAAATATATAGATAAATAGCGAATAATAGCGATGATTATGTGATTAACATAAATATTTTACTTTTAACTCCAAAATTTTAAAAAAAATGATAATACACAAACAAATTTTTTTTTCCTTGACGACAATGGTGTGGAGAAATGTTCATCGTCAAAAGAAGAAGAAAAAAACAAGCAAATGTACCAAGAAACATGGACTTGGAAATTATGTCATTCCTAAACTCGTTGGTATGGATAGCTCATACCATTAAATCTACGCCTTCCCACCTCTTCCTATTGTTTTGATGAAAAAGATAGCATGGATGCTTGTTAACGTTATGAGAATTTTTGCATTTCTCTATTAGTTGAACATTTTTTCAGTCAGAAGCCTCGACCCTAAGCTTCAATAATTGACATAATTAATTACTGTCACGATAATAGATAGTACCCCACATCGATTATTCACGATAGCTCATGGTGATACTTTCGGCAATGACCTTGACTATAAGTCGATGATCACTAATGAAGAAGTCATCGTGACAGGTGCCCATATTACAAATAAAGTCGTCTTTCATTTTCTAAAATAAGATAATATGAGGAAACTTATTATATTTATTTTATTTTTAATACTATTGATGTATGAATTATTTATTTATATATATATTTTTAAGCAAATCTACTTATGTCTAGGTATAGGTCCTAAAGAGATTGTGGTTCAACCTTAATACATTCACACTCTCACTTACACATTTCTTACACTTTTACGCATGATAAAATTTGCACTTTTGATTTTGAACTCATTCATCGTATCATTGCACAAAGTTCCTCCACAAAGAAGGAAATGTCAACCAAGTTATCATAGTTGATGTACGTATAACATTATTCTTTGTGATTGGTCTTAGTCTTGTCTCTATTGAAAAATCAGTACACAAGGAGATGGACTTTTTAACTTGACTTCTAGACTTGCATAAAAAAATTTTAAAAAAGCCGGTGTTTCGTGTTGATTAAAATCAATTTTTTATTTAATTTTGATAAAAGTGGATGAAATATGTGGTTAAAATTAATTGTTAAATTTGAATTAAATTAAAATCTAAATTTTAATTTCTACCAAACATTTGCCAAAGCTACAAATATGAAAGGACTATTCCAATATCGTTCCAAAATAGCTGTAAATAAAATACTAATTACTTATAATTATAAACAACCTCTCTATGTTGTGCCCATGTTTGGTGGAGACTAAAATTTAGGTCAAAATTAATAATTAATTTTAGTCACGTATTTTATGGAATCCACGACTTTTTCAACTACACATTCATCAACTTTTATTAAATTTTATTAAAAATTTGATTTTAATCAAAGGGACTATATATTTTATGAATATGGAATTAAACCTATAAAAGGATATCTTAGTAAGTAGGATACACACAATTTAGGCACTACCCAAGCATAGCGGTGGCAAAAAAGTTCGGAGGCTCGGGCTGCCCGGGCTTGGCTCGGAAAAAGCTCGAGCCGGGCCCGGCTCGGTGGAATCGAGCCCCACTTTGGGGAGTCGGCTCGAGCCCGGGCCGGCCCGTGGCCCGGGTGAGCC